ACTGAGGGACACAGAATTGTTACTGAGGGACACAGAATTGTTACTGAGGGACAGACACAGAATTGTTACTGAGGGACACAGAATTGTTACTGAGGGACACAGAATTGTTACTGAGGGACACAGAATTGTTACTCAGGGACACAGAATTGTTACTCAGGGACACATAATCGTTGAATTAAAGAGTATGTCAGACAACATGCAGAGGAGTGGCAGAGGAGGCAATGTTTTAGGAGCGAGCAGACGTGGCAGCAGAGGAAGGGGTCGAGGCAGCACTAGTCGCAGACAGAGGCCAATGCTCCCGGTGTCATCCAGCGGTCCGTGTCTCCACCGACAACCCTGCCGTCATCGATTGGTTGGCTCGGTCGTCTTCCTCTTCCCAGGTCACCTCTGACACCTACAGCCAAACGGTCGGTGGGTACGTCAGACACAACCGTTAGTTGGCATGGCCCGGGAGCAAGCCCACTGAAATCACGTGTCCTCTACCTGCCCCTGTCCTTTGGTGTTCCCTCACCAAGCGAAGTATCGCATGCTGTGGGCTCAGCCCACTGTACAGTGAGGAAGAGCTAACAGAGGGCGGTCAGGAACGGGGGGAGACATCCGCCTCTTCAGCAGCAGGCGAAGAGTAGTGGCGAGGAGAGTGGCTCGGTAGCCGGTCCCTAGAGACAGGTCTGTCTCCTGACCCACACGCAGCCGTGGGGGCTAGTAGTGAGGCGGAGACCCTAATTGATGATGATGAGGCTGATCGCACTTGGCAGCCTCGTCGTCATCAGGCTATTGCTTCCGCATCATCAGGAGAAGAGGTTGCAGCTTGGCAGCGAGCAAAACAGTCGGTGGGTTGCCCAGGAGGCAGCAGGGTCGCAGCAGTGTCAGTGGAGGCAAACGGCCACGGAGTACAGCACCAGCTCCACTGCAGCCTACCACCACGGCCAGTAAGTGGTGCCGGTGTGCACGGAGGAAAGTAGCAGTCAGCCAGTGAGGAGTATCAGGGGCAAAGTTTCCTACTCGGCGGTGTGGCAATTTTTCGTTCAAGCCGCCCGAGGAAGTAAACGTAGTCGTATGTCGACTATGTGGCCAGAAAGTCAAGCGTGGCCAGGGGGCCCATGTTGGGACTACAGCGTTTGCGGCAGCAATATGCAGCGTCGCCATTTGGTGGCCTGGGAAAAACCGTGATAAAGATACGGCGGGTTCTGCCTGCCCCAGCCCCCGCTCCATCACCCGCTCCGTTACTTGCTCCGTCACCCGACGTCAATCGCCCTCTATCAGCCAGTCAAGGCTCAAACACCTCTGCTGAGGGGAGTTGTCGCTCGTTTGGCATCTTCCGCTCGTTCAGATGCTCCTTCTCCTGCAACTCCTCTTCACGGATTCCGTCAGCAGTCTTTCTTGGAATCCGTTTCCAAGAGACAACAGTTTGCGAGCACGCACCCGACGGTGCAAAAGCTGAACGTCCTCCTGTCCAAGTTGCTGGTGCTGCAGTCCCTCCCTTTCCAAGTAGTGGACTCAGCACCTTTCCGAGAAATGATGGCTTGTGCCGCGCCGCGGTGGAGAGTGCCAAGCCGTCATTTCTTCGCCAAAAAGGCAGTGCCAGCCCTGCATTCACATGTAGAAGAGATGGTGGGCCAGTCTTTGAGCATGTCGGTCTCTGCCCAAAGTGCACGGCAGCGCCGACGTGTGGAGCTGTAACTACAGTCAGGGGACAGTACATGTAATTTACGGCCCATTGGGGTGAACGTTGGTGCGGCACAGCCGCACCAGCAACTTGGACAGGTCACGCCCGCTTTTGCCTCCACGTTTGCACGTCCTTTGGTCCACAAAATATGTCCGCCTCTACCACCTCTTCTTCCGCTGTGTCCTCAGCCCGCCACCCCCGTGTGCCAAGTCCCATTACCCGACGACCGGCATATCACATGTGCAGGGCGCAACGGTGTCACGCTGTGCTGCACCTGGTATGCCTTGGCGAACGTAAGTCACACAGGGGAGGAACTTCTGAGTGTGTAATGAACAGAGAAATCGACAGATGGCTGTCTCCGCGCAAACTGAAATCGGAACCATGTTGACCGACAACGGAAAGAAACATGGTGTCTGCTCTGCGTCAAGGAAGGTTGTGCCATGCGCATGCATGGCTCACGTGTTCAATCTGGTTGTCAAGCGGTTCCTAAAATCCACCATCCCACTGCAAGACATCCTTAAAATTGTCACGTAAATTTTTGCATGCATTTCAGCCATTCCTACACCGCAAAGCACACCCTCCTTGAGCTGCAGCGGCAGAACGGAATTCCACAGCATCGCCTGATCTGCGACGTTGCAACAAGGTGGAATTCAACCCTACACATGTTAGACCGCCTTTACGAACAGCAAAAGGCCATCACCGATTTCCTGATGTTACAAGCGGATAAAGGTACTCCCCTGTGTAACTTAGATGTCAGCCATTGGCAGCTCATGCGTGACACCTGCCACCGCCCAAACCACCACTGCCGCTTGCTCAGGCCCTTTGAGGAGGCCACGCTATTCGTGAGTCGGCAGGACTATGGGATGAACGACGTCATTCCTCTGTTGCACGTCCTGGGAACAAATTCTGTTAACAATGCTGGTCAGGGTGCGGTGGTAGACGTGGCGCACAGATCTCAACACCACATGACCCCTGTGGGGGCAGGACAGGAAGAAGAGGAGGAGGTAGAGGAGGACATTTGTGCTCAGGAATTATTGAGTGAAATGGGTGGTTTTTTCCACTCAGCGGACAGGAGTGGAGGAGCAGGAGCATCTGTTAGAGGAGGAGGAGACAGAGGACCCAGACGCACCATGGCAGTATTGCTGTGGAGATGGAGGCAGGGAGTCCCTCGCATTCCTTGGCACAAATGGCCCATAGCATGCTCGGTTGCTTGCGTAGCGACAGCCGAATAATAACCATCAGACAGAGGGATGACTTTTGGCTGTCCACCCTTGTTGGACCCTCGCTACCGTTCAAAAATGGTGGCCTTTTTCACACCTGCTGAGAGGGAGGCCAAAATAAAGTACTATAAAAACCACCTATGTAGTCAGTTGGTCTCTGCCTTTCTGCGCCAACGTCCATCCTCAGACACTGTGGCCCTGTGCGCTCGCGTTCCGCTGGCATGGCAGCAGGGGAGGGGTGGGGTGGTAGGAGCAGTGGCAGCTCCACCAGCAGCGGCTGCCTCAGTCTGCAGTCGATGATGAGTAGCTTTCTTCACCAGCGCAGTGAGGAAACTACTAACCAGCCGCAGCAGCAGCAGCAGCATCAGGTGGACCTGGAGCAGGAACTCAAACAACAGGCTTAGGCCTACTTGGACAGCACCCTGCCAACCGAGGTAGACAATCCCCTTGACTACTGGGCAACGAAACTTGACCTTTGGCCCAACTAGCTGAATTTGCCCTTGAAAGGCTGTCATGCCCGGCCAGTAGCGTGGCATCGAAGCGCGTGTTTAGTGCGGCAGGAGGTATTGTAACTCTGCGGAGGACACGACTGTCCACCCAAAGTGTGGAAGAGACTCACGTTTGTGAAAATGAATCAGGCGTGGATTAGTCTGGATTTCAAACCACCAAGTTCCTGACACAACTGACTAAAATCCGCCATGAATCATTCCCCAAACATGTGCCACTTTCGGTCTCCTCACACTGCTTGTGTGTTCCATTTTTTGTCATTAGGGTGCTGGCAGATTACGGGCCTCCCATTGCTGCTGCCAGGCCCGTAATCTGCCATGGGCCCCCGTACCGCCTCCTCATGCTGCTGCCAGGTCCAGAGTCTCTCATGGGTCCCTGTACGGCCTCCCATTGCTGCTTGTCTCCATCGCCACACTCTGCCATGTGCCACTTTCAGGTCTCCTCACACTGCTGGTGTGTTCCATTTTTTGTCATAGGGTGCTGGCAGATTACGGGCCTCCCATTGCTGCTGCCAGGCCCGTAATCTGCCATGGGCCCCCGTACTGCCTCCCTCATGCTGCTGCCAGGTCCAGAGTCTCTCATGGGTCCCTGTTACGGCCTCCCATTGCTGCTGTCTCCATCGCCACACTCTGCCATGTGCCACTTTCAGGTCTCCTCACACTGCTGGTGTGTTACATTTTTGTCATAGGGTGCTGGCAGATTACGGGCCTCCCATTGCTGCTGCCAGGCCCGTATCTGCCATGGGCCCCCGTACCGCTCCTCATGCTGCTGCCAGGTCCAGAGTCTCTCATGGGTCCCTGTACGGCCTCCCATTGCTGCTGTCTCTCATCGCCACACTCTGCCATGTGCCACTTTCAGGTCTCCTCACACACTGATGGTGTGTTACATTTTTTGTCATAGGGTGCTGGCAGATTACGGGCCTCCCATTGCTGCTGCCAGGCCTGTAATCTGCCATGGGCCCTTGTACCGCCTCCTCATGCTGCTGCCAGGTCCAGAGTCTCTCATGGGTCCCTGTACGGCCTCCCATTGCTGCTGTCTCCATCGCCACACTCTGCCATGTGCCACTTTCAGGTCTCCTCACACTGCTGGTGTGTTCATTTTTTGTCATAGGGTGCTGGCAGATTACGGGCCTCCCATTGCTGCTGCCAGGCCCGTAATCTGCCATGGGCCCCCGTACCACCTCCTCATGCTGCTGCCAGGTCCAGAGTCTCTCATGGGTCCCTGTACGGCCTCCCATTGCTGCTGTCTCCATTGCCACACTCTGCCATGTGCCACTTTCAGGTCTCCTCACACTGCTGGTGTGTTCCATTTTTTGTCATAGGGTGCTGGCAGATTACGGGCCTCCCATTGCTGCTGCCAGGCCCGTAATCTGCCATGGGCCCCCGTACCGCCTCCTCATGCTGCTGCCAGGTCCAGAGTGTGTCATGGTCCCTGTACGGCCTCCCATTGCTGCTGTCTCCATTGCCACACTCTGCCATGTGCCACTTTCAGGTCTCCTCACACTGCTGGTGTGTTTACATTTTTGTCATAGGGTGCTGGCAGATTACGGGCCTCCCATTGCTGCTGCCAGGCCCGTAATCTGCCATGGGCCCCCGTACCGCCTCCTCATGCTGCTGCCAGGTCCAGAGTCTCTCATGGGTCCCTGTACGGCCTCCCATTGCTGCTGTCTCCATCGCCACACTCTGCCATGTGCCACTTTCAGGTCTCCTCACACTGCTGGTGTGTTTACATTTTTGTCATAGGGTGCTGGCAGATTACGGGCCTCCCATTGCTGCTGCCAGGCCGTAATCTGCCATGGGCCCTGTACCGCCTCCTCATGCTGCTGCCAGGTCCAAGAGTCTCTCATGGGTCCCTGTACGGCCTCCCATTGCTGCTGTCTCCATCGCCACACTCTGCCATGTGCCACTTTCAGGTCTCCTCACACTGCTGGTGTGTTCCATTTTTTGTCATAGGGTGCTGGCAGATTACGGGCCTCCATTGCTGCTGCCAGACCCGTAATCTGCCATGGGCCCCCGTACCGACTCCTCATGCTGTGACGTTGCAACAAGGTGGAATTCAACCCCACATATGTTAACCGCCTTTACGAACAGCGAAAGGCCATCACAGATTTCCTGATGTTACAAGCGGATAAAGGTACTCCCTGTGTAACTTAGATGTCAGCCATTGGCAGCTCATGCATGACACCTGCCGCTTGCTCAGGCCCTTTGAGGAGGCCACGCTATTGTGAGTCGGCAGGACTATGGGATGAACGACGTCATTCCTCTGTTGCACGTCTGGAAAAAATGCTGTTAACAATGGCTGGTCAGGGTGCGGTAGACGTGGCGCACAGATCTCAACGCCACATGACCCCTGTGGGGGCAGGACAGGAAGAAGAGGAGGAGGTAGAGGAGGACATTGGTGCTCAGGAAATTATTGAGTGAAATGGGTGGTTTTTCCACTCAGGGACAGGAGTGGAGGAGCAGGAGCATCTGGTAGAGGAGGAGGAGGAGGAGACAGAGGACCCAGGACGCACCGTGGCAGTATGCTGTGGAGCATGGAGGCAGGGAGTCCCTCGCATTCCTTGGCACAAATGGCCCATTAGCATGCTCGGTTGCTTGCGTAGCGACAGCCTCCGAATAATAACCATCAGACAGAGGGATGACTTTTGGCTGTCCACCTTGTTGGACCCTCGCTACCGTTCAAAAAATGGTGGCCTTTTTCACACCTGCTGAGAGGGAGGCCAAAAAAAAGTACTATAAAAAACCACCTATATAGTCAGCTGGTCTCTGCCTTTCTGCGCCAATGTCCATCCTCAGACACTGTGGGCCCTGTGCGCTCGCGTTCCGCTGCCATGGCAGCAGGGGAGGGGTGGGGTGGTAGGAGCAGTGGCAGCTCCACCAGCAGCGGCTGCCTCAGTCTGCAGTCGATGATGAGTAGCTTTCTTCACCAGCGCAGTGAGGAAACTACTAACCAGCCGCAGCAGCAGCAGCATCAGGTGGACCTGGAGAGCAGGAACTCAAACAACAGGCTTGGGCCTACTTGGACAGCACCCTGCCAAAACCGAGGTAGACAATCCCCTTGACTACTGGGCAATGAAACTTGACCTTTGGCCCCAACTAGCTGAATTTGCCCTTGAAAGGCTGTCATGCCCGGCCAGTTGTAGTAGCGTGGCATCGGAGCGCGTGTTTAGTGCTGGGCAGGAGGTATTGTAACTCCGCGGAGGACACGACTGTCCACCCAAAGTGTGGAGAGACTCACGTTTTGTGAAAATGAATCAGGCGTGGATTAGTCTGGATTTCAAACCACCAGTTCCTGGACACAACTGACTAAAATCCGCCATGAATCATGCCCCAAACATGTGCCACTTTCAGGTCTCCTCACACTGCTGGTGGGTTCCATTTTGTCATAGGGTGCTGGTAGAGAGATTACGGGGCCTCCCATTGCTGCTGCCAGGCCCGTAATCTGCATGGGCCCCTGTACCGCCTCCTCATGCTGCTGCCAGGTCCAGAGAGTCTCTCATGGGTCCCTGTACGGCCTCCCATTGCTGCTGTCTCCATCGCCACACTCTGCCATGTGCCACTTTCAGGTCTCCTCACACTGCTGGTGCATCTGATGTTCCATTTTGTCATAGGGTGCTGGCAGATTACGGGCCTCCCATTGCTGCTGCCAGGCCCGTAATCTGCCATGGGCCCCTGTACCGCCTCCTAATGCTGCTGCCAGGTCCAGAGTGTGTCATGGGTCCCTGTACGGCCTCCCATTGCTGCTGTCTCCATCGCCACACTCTGCATGTGCCACTTTCAGGTCTCCTCACACTGCTGGTGGGTTCCATTTTTGTCATAGGGTGCTGTATGGCCTCCCATTGCTGCTGCCTCCACCGCCGCACTGTGGCTCCACACTCTGGTTTTGGCCCCATGACTGCCCAAATGAGTGAAGTGTGCGGTGATTCTAAGATCGACGGCACTCATCTGCATGTCATACTGACTGACAGTATTATTTCTCTTCCCCAGCAGACTCCAAGGGCATTTAAATTAAAGGTACAGTGTTACCCTTTTATAAGTTAAAATCGCAGTGAATATATTCGCATCGAATCAAATTTATTCCTCGAATTCGCCGAATCAGCCGAATCGAATTTTTGAATACTTCGCTCATCTCTAGTCATGAGCTATAAGATACAACCTCAAATATTTCAAGTGCACCAACCATTTGGGGATGGTGCATAAAATCTATTTTTACTGATATCTTACCCCACTTAGACCAGCTCCAACACTGATTTATCTTTTAGAGGATGTAGCCAGGTAGGCACCCTCCTGCACTTCTTCTGGACATGCATGAATGTGGGAAGTTATAGGAACTCATGTACAGTGTTTATACGAGAGAATTAATGCTGCATATAAAATCCCAAAGGAAATGGGATTTATCAGCTCCTTATTCTACAGTTTTTAAACTAACTGTATTAAGGACAAGTATAATAATAACACCCTCTGCTGCTTGATTACACAATATTTTTTACTATGCTATTATTTTGATTTTTTAAAATTGTTTATTTCATTCTTTATACTTTTGGTAAATAAATAATAGCAGTGTTAAATTTAAAAATAGATTTATATACCATGCAACTTACTGTAACTTGCTATTCATTACACTTGATTACATTGAATGTGTATACCTACGATTCCTTACTGTGTAATTTGAACAATATGAAACAAGTGCTGCTTTGTTTTATACTTTTACATACTGCTAAAACTGTAATAAAAAAGTTATAAAAAAGAAAAAAATTCCCTTTTAAATCTATTTCATCTTCATATGATTGGATAATTGCAGTGATTCTTGACACATTTTATTGTGTGTACATTCTTAAATCCTTTAGTGGCCTCTTTAACATCCTGATCATGGTTTCTTTGAGAAGTAATACATACCTGCAATTTTTACATTTGCACACTAGTTGTAATGCATTCACTTATCATCAAAAATATGTCAGATATTAGGTCTACTTTAATGAAAGGTGGATAAAGTATGAAGTCAAGAAAATTCTCAAAGGAAATGAAAGGTGCTGCCAGAGGTCTTACTTAAGGACTACTACCTAAAGTACCTTTGTTCTTAATAAAGGAAAAGTATAATAACAACATATTTTCTGAAATAAGTAACCAATATGTTGCAAATGTATACTGTATACTGGTCAGCCTAATGCAGATGCTCCCCACCCCACTTTTTATCCCTGGTGTATACACATCTCTTCTAAGAAATTAATGGGTGCAGGTGGATGTAAAGTATTTAACAGTACTACATATGAAGGACAGCTAAATGGGCTGATCTTATGCTTGCAAAAGTTACTTCCTTGCTCATATACAGTAAACTTCCATCTTACAAGCTGCCTATTGTAAGAGAGTTTTTTAAATTAAAGAACAGGTTAGTCTTTAAAATTTAAGTACATATTATGTAAGTAGCCTTATCGTTTTCATGCTGGAAAGCACAACAAAAATGTGAAAAGTTCTACCATCTGTTTGTGCAGTTGCTCATTATAAAAGAAATACAGTCTTTGATGGGTAAAGATCCTTAGCACTCACTTGGATCAACCCCAATTAAAAAGACCAAATTGTTTGATGTTGTATGGTGAGACATTTCTTTTGGGACTGATTAAAGGCAAAGGTAAATAAGTTTACATTCCCACAGTATGTTCATTCATCAAAGTTTATTTAAATAGATTTCCTAAGAAGATATCAAGCACTTATGTTTTCTAATGGGCTGAAATTCTTCAAACATATATAACATTTCAAAGTTAAAATGAAATCACATTAATTAACAGAATATGCTAAATATTACTTGGTTTGTAACAGTAACATTATACGTATATCACATTTCATAAAAGCCCTTATAATAAATCCCCATATATATAAATCCATTTCACTTCAACTATCCCCATAACCTCTGTAACAAAAGAAGTGAAAAAGTATTTCTAATTGTAAAGAAATCCTAGAGCTAGTGTTTCATTAATGAGCTGTTTGTATTTACACACAGGTCATATTATGTCAGCATCACATGTTTTTATTCCACCAAGATTTTCTTTACTTTGCATCTGCCACTTGGTATCAAGTGGTGCTGCTTAGCTTTTTGTTTGCCATTATTTCCAAGTATTTTTGCATCTGATTTTCTCACCTGTATTGTATCTAATGTAAGAAGGGTAAGCCTATTCCCTCAACAAATCTGCATAACCTTTCATTTTTCAACATTATTTTTAACTTGCAATTTAAATGCTATAATTGTTGTCGATTGTAAATGTATTTTGCCAAGGTCCTTCTGTAATCAATATATTACTACCATGCTAATTTTTTCAAGTTTTTGATAACCATTTAATCCCCCAGGGTTGCAGGGGTGTGCAAAATCCCGTATATATGTGATTTTGCATTTCCGGGTAGGGGGCGCACGCGTGCCCTACCCACGCCGCCATTCGTAGCCGTGGCTGTCAATCACTGGGTCCTGGCTGGTGATTACTTACCAGCACCCGGTGATTACCGAGGATCTCTGATGGGGAGGAGAACTGTTTTTGTTTACTAATAGTTCTCCTCCCTGTCAGCTCGGGCACACTGCTTTGGATGGCTGTGCTGTGCACAGCCATCCAAAACAGTGTGCTTACAGTGAAGCATACAGACACTCCCCATAGTAAAACACACCCATCACACAGTTAAACCCTTTGATCGCCTCTCATGTTAATCCCTTCTTGACCAGTGCCATTAGTACAGTGTCAGTGCTTTTTTTTTAGAACTGATCACTGTATTGGTGTCACTGGGGAAGTCAGTGACACCAAGTCAGTTACCCCCAGTGTCAGAATGCCCGCCACAGTCCTGCTGTAAGTCGATGATCACCGCCATTACTAGTAAAAATTTAAAAAATCTCAGTATATATACCGCCATTTGTAAATGCTATAATGTTCACGTAAAACCAATTAATTTACACATATTGCAATTTTTTTTAGCAAAGACATGTAGTAGAATACATTTTGGCCTAAATTTATGATGAAATTAGATTTTTTTTCAATTTTTTACCGGACATGTTTAATAGCAAAAAGTCAAAAATATTGTTTTTTTTCTCAAAATTGTCAGTCTTTTTTATAGCACAAAAAATAAAAAAACACACAAGCAATCAAATACCACTAAAAGAAAGCTCAATTTATGGGGAAAAAAGGCCATACATTTTATTTAAGTGCAGCGTTGCATGAATGCGCAATTGTCAGTTAAATTAACACAGCGCCATAACACAAAAAATGGCCTGGTTAGGAAGGAGGGTAAATCCTCAGGAGGAACTTGCTTTTGGGGTGTACCCCTTCTTTTGAAGGTCCAAATATTGATTGCATCTTAGAAGGAGATGGTACTCCCCAAATGTTTGTCCACAAAATGTGAATATTTATGAAAATTTAAAAAAGTATCATAGACAGTACTCAACTTCTTGAATTATGGTACTAATTCCCGTTTGCCAGTCTTGTGGAACTATACCAGTTGAAATATAGGGAAAGATTTACTAAAGCTGGTTCACTCAGAATCCCATGCACCTGTGCATGGTAGCCAATCAGTTTCTTGTTCAAATATTTTATTGTTTTAACATGAAACAATACAAAATAATAAGTATATAGGGCATTGAAGGTGTACAATAATTGCACAAAAAAAAAGGATTCCCGTTAATACAAGGTCAGGCATCACTAACATAAGTGACTATCAACTAGCAATTGAGGTCTAACAAGAAGGGGAGGGGGAGGGGGAGGAAGGGGAGGGAGGATGGAGAGGGGCATATGGCTCCGCGGAAAGGGGAGAAAGAAGAAAACCGCAGTATTGGTAAGGAACGGTACCAGTGGAGCAAAAGACATAGGTTACGGATTGAGAAGGGAGTCATCAAAATTGGATGGGAGGAAATGCTCTACCCAGGGATTCCAAATCTTCTTGAACTTGGGGATGGAATCTTAAATAGTGGCTTCTATTTTTGCATGAATCATCGCCTGAGTAACCGCTCATAACTGTAGTCATACTCAGCGAGGGAGATTTCCATGATTTAGCGATAACCTGCTTGCTGCGGTGGTGACTTGTAAAATGAGTTTGAAATTTGCCTTTGTGATGTCCGGTGGTCGCAGGTTGAGCAGCGCAACTAATGGACTTGGATGGAGGGTTATGGCATTGAGTGTGGATAGTATTCTAAAAATCTCTACCCAAAATGCTCGGACGATTGGGCAATCCCACCAAAATATGAAAAAATGTACCCAGGTCTGCGCAGCCCCTGAAACAAGCTGAGGGGTAATCAGGGGTAAATTTCGCAATTCTAGCTGGTACCAGGTACCAGCGGGTCAAGACTTTGTAGTTGGTCTCCAGGGCCTCAATATTCTGTGACGACTCTTTGGTATTGGACCAAATGAGATCCCAGTCTGAAGGGTCGATTTTCCGGCCTAAATCCACTTCCCATTTATTTGTGTACGAGGGTAACGATGATACGGTTGAGGTTGTGAAGAGGGAAATATAAATAGGAAATGAGCCCCTTTCTATGGGGGTCCCTGAGACATACTCGCTCAAAAGGAGACAAAGTAGGTACTGGGTTAGCAGCCATTGTGTACGGAGCAAAGAAATGTTTCAACTGCAGATACCTGAATAACTCAGGCAGGGAGGTTATGGGACTCACGTAGTGAGGCAAAGGATTTAAATTTATTCCTGAATACGAAGTGTCGGGTCTGGGTGAGACCAGCCGTAGACCAGTGAGTAAAGACATTTGGAGCGGACCAGGCTAGGGGAAAGGCAGGATTTCGAAGGTATGAAAGGAGGGGATTATGGGGTGATTGTAGGAGATAGTGGGACTTCAA